AAATACAGTTCAACAGTGTTTTACAATAAAAACATACGAACAAGAATAAATAATTTAAGTAGTTACAGCAGGAAGAGTTTGCCTGGAATCACCAGTTCCACAACTGAGGAGCCTGGACACATAATAAGTTAGAATATAATAATATCATATTTTTCATTTCAGACTTGTACCTGGTGTCCTTTCTTACCTTTTTAATTGTTTTATTGGAGGACATACTACTGCTTTTTTAAATAGGAAACAAAACCTTTTAAATCACCTGTTGATTGTTGTTTTTTTATGCTCAATAGGTGCTTTTTATCAATATATTTTTACTAGCAAATGTCTATAGATATGAGGAAAATACTATAAAATCCCCATTACCATTTATTTGAAGTGCATGTTTTGTGCAGCCAAAGATATTCCATTTCCAATGCTATGAAACTGAGAAAAAATGTAAATCCTCATGTTTCAGAAGCTGGAACCAGCTGGAATGTTTCTAATAAATTGATTGCCGATTAATTTTCTGTAACTCGACTAATCATCCCAGCCCTGCTTGTGAATGCTGCGAGTCTCTCATAATGCCGTATGCACCATAAAACACACACCTACCCAGATAATAACTGGTTAGAAAAAGGACTCATTCGCCACACTTAGCACTGAAGCAAAACCTAGTGATCAGTGTGGCTGAAACTGTAGTAGCTTTGCTGTCTGTATCGCTACAACCTGGGCCCTGTATGGAGGCCTGTGAATCCTTTACGTACCTCCACTTCTTTTGTCCATCATCCAGTTGAAAAGTTAACTTTATGACTTCATAGTTTATACATATAAGATATATTTGTTGGCAGACATCTTTGTGTGCTTCGGTTGAATTCCTTCTATAATTAGTAGAGACAGTTCTATAACCTGTTTTTTCATGCGTCTTCAGTATGTAAAGGCAGTCCATTGGGGGAGCTGTACCGGTGCGTTGAGGAGAGGATAAGGGTCAAAGTTCACATCAGGACCTTCAAGGGGCTGAGGGGTGTGTGCACTGGCTTTGTTGTGGCCTTCGACAAGTTCTGGAACATGGTGAGCTCTCCCACTTGCTGAATTTGAAATAATCCACAACATACTTGTAACCATAAATTTGATGTCTTTATTCTGGCATTTCACCAATTCTTTTTTATTTCTCTTTGTCAGGCAATGGTAGATGTGGATGAGACATACAGAGAGCCTCTGCTTGGAGAGGCATTCTACCATGAGAAAGCCCTCACCATCTCAAGGGTAGGCCCTAGTTTTTATTATATATCTAACTGTAATATATTTTATACTCGGTAATGGCTACAGTCAGTTTGATTTGGTGGTGTATGTTCCTATGCTGAGGAATTGGTAGAGTGTAACCTGTTTCGTGACTGTCTGAAACTGATCTGCTGTCAAATAAAGGCCCTAAATTACTATTGTCTTGTTTTGTAGATGCCGTCGATAAACGATCGCTGTCTGTGCTAACCTAAAAAATACTGTGCACTGTCTGTGACTGCTTTACAATAGAAGCTGGACCGTGCTTTGCCAGTTAAACAATTTTAATATGAACTAGCAGCAGTAGGAAATGGTGTGTTTGCAGTAACTAAATGGAGCTCTGCTGGTGTGTTAGAGTGAACAATAATGCTGGATGATTAGATCCATGCATTGTTTCTGTAAATCCCTCCTGTGTAGGTAATTTGGATTTTGCACGGCATCGCCTGTAATAATAAATATTATATATAAAGGTAACTAGAATAAAAAATTGTTGAATGTCTATAGCTGAAAAATGACAACCATAAACAGCATCAAACATGGGGTTTGATTTCATGAAAGCTCTTAAGTTTAATCCACAAATATGAATGTGACTGAACTCTCTGTACAGCTCTTTGAGAAGCTAAATCTCCAGGAGAGCTCAGGAGGTAACGAGCCACCAAAGAAGCACGAAGACCGGGAAACAGCCAGCAAGCATCAGGCCGCTCACTGTACTGGCAAAGGAGGGCACAGCAGGACGGAGTCCAAGCTGTCAGACACTGTTAGACCCAAACAGGATAAACACAAAGTCTCACTGAAGGCCCAGGGCCCAGAGGTCTGTCAGAAGAAAGACTCCCAGATGTATGGCAAGGTCCATACACGCCACATCAACCAGCTTTTCATCCGGGGTGAGAACGTCATCCTGGTCAACCCACAGCCGCTCTGATCTTTGTTTTCTGTTTGATACTTACCCTGGATAACAGAACAAATGTGCTACAACCACAATCTGTAAAATCTAAGTGTTATTTTATGCTGAACATCTGTAACGACTGGTATGAAATACTGCAGACGAACTGCCAGAGAAATATGATTTAATTAGATTCAGAGGAATCAAACAGGGACTATTGTTATATCATATTGATATGGAGGTTTTCTCTGCCCACCAGAGGAATTATCTTGATTTTGAGGAATAAAAGCTTCTCATTTCTAATTATAGTAATTGTTTTTCTTTTAAATGACAGCCACTGTAAGAAAGTAAGTATTTTCACACTGCATTAACAACTGTGATTGTGTTTTGGTTATTCGGCAGCATTAGCCAGCAGGTGGCAGCATAAACACATTAGTGCCATCTGTGGGGCTATTGTCATCTCAAAGAGCTTGTCCCTTTATGTTGCTTTTCCCGTTAGTTTGAACAGGAATGACAGCGCAGTCTCAGCGGACTTCATAAATGCATTATGAATAATTGAGTTTGTGAAGCTAGAGATTGCAGATGGCACTCAAAAGCTGTCATTTGTCTTGACGTCTCAGATTGCTTTTACTCTTTAATGGGCACATTACCCATAAAAGCACAATTTACTGCATCTCGTGGAAGTTGTAAAGATGCGAGTGGCCCAGAATGATTGTATGTTGCTGTAATGTTTCCAAGTCAGAGTTCTAGCTTATGTTATTAGTTTTTTTCTTAATTTGACTGCAGAGGGTTTAATTGACCCTCTTTCTATATATTTTTATGCCATAAAAATAGGACAAATTCCAGCTGTAGCTGAGCTGTTGTTCATCTATATGCTGTTCATATAATGTATCAGAATATTATTAGTGTAGCCCATTTAACCGTCTTCCTCTCCAGAGAGGGAAAATGGGGTCAATTGTTTAATGCAAGCTGTGTTTTAGTGGTGTTTGTCACACCAGTGTGTTCCAACAAACCTTGATATAATATGAGAAGGGCACAGCACTGGTAGTGAAGAGATGGGCCACAATTAGACTACACAATCTTTCTCTTGAGTGTATTTTACCAGAGAAAATCAGGCCATCCATCTCACTAGGACAAAGTTTAATTTCATCAGCTGAAATAATATTGAAGCATTAAGGACACAAAGTAGCAACAGTTCTTTAAATAAACTAATAGCTTTGTTACGAGTAATACATGCATGAAAGCTCATATCAACAAAGGGCTGCTCTTCCTCAACATCTGTTGCGTTCAACCACTGCAGCTGTCATAATAAGAATCAGATATTTCCTTTTTCCACATAACTTGTTTGCTGTTACTCTGTACTCTCCCCATGATATCTCAATGTGATCTAACTTGTGGTCTTGTGTGGTACATGCACTGGGATGCATTCAGCAGTGGCAACTTGCAGATTTTCAGACTTTATATTCCCTACATTTGTTCTCTTGGCTTTCTGCCTTATTACTATAATTTGTACATGTTCATATTTATTAAGGATCTTCCTTTATTACCTCAAACAATGACATTAACAAGCTTGCATCAACTAAATGTAATTTCAAAGTCAAGCGCAGTGGCTTCACTTGTGCTGCTTGAAGCTCTTTTGAATGAGGCTAATGACACAACACACCAAATAACACACACCATTAACAAATTTCAATCAACTGTTTAATGTTGTAGATAAAGAATCTTGATGTGTAAATCAAATCAAAATGGGACGAATGCAAAATTTCATTTTCTCAAAGGATTTTCTTTTTTTTTTTTTACATTTGCATATGCTAGTGTTTCAGTAACAATCCCATTTTAGAGAAGATCAAAACAATTTGAAGTAAAAAAAAAAAATGCATAAAACAACCTCTACTGATATATTTTAGAAAAACAGCAAACTGATTTTGGTCATTTTAATGCTTCTGACTCCGATGCAAGGCTACTACATGTTAGTGTGCTCATCCTCGAACCCTTGGGAAAGCAGGAAAGCACAACTTCTAATCCTCCTGGGGCTGCAGAATCCACTGCCTTTTTCTCTGGTCAGTGAATTATTTATCTACTCCTTGACAAACCAAAAATGTCAGGCAGCAAAGATTTATTTATCAATCACTCATTACAAGGGTCAGGAGGCAACCATTGGCAGGCACTTGAACCAGTGAAGAGCAAGGATTTGTACATTTAACAGGCCAGTTAGCTGAATGGGATTGTTCATTATGCGCCATCGCACAACACATTCATCCAACCACCGCGATGTACTGGGTATGTACCAACTGGTAAAAGTGCTTCCCCTCATACGATCTTCCTGATAAGCTGCAAAACCTGCAGACTTGGATTGGTGACAGCTTTGACAGCAACACTCTTTCCAAGACTGCTGTTTGTAATGTGTAACATTAATAAAGATGTAAGATGAGAAGGCAGCACTTAACCAAGATGCACTGGTGAACAGACAACAGATAGATGAATGGTGCAATCTTAATAACAGTCAGTATAAACACTTGAGGTGTTGAATTAAGATGAGCTCAATATATTTATATATTGGGTGTTTTCTGAGCCCTGGAGTTACCACTGACGTGAACAGAGCGGAAATAAAATCGAATTAGACAAACAAAACAGAATGAGGGAAATAATTATACAATTGCATCTGATATCCGTAAAGACAGCACGCTTGGCTTGAGGCATAGGTACAAACGCATTTGTACATAGTACAGAAGCTCCTTTCTGGTAGCTGTCCTCAACACTGCAACAGTCACATTGTCTTTCAGAGTTTAACTGAGGAGAAAAGGCAAGGCAAAGGTCTTTCAGGCACTCTGTGCTTAATTAAGAACCCACAACCCCTGTATGAGGCTTATTCTACCTACTGATTATCTCATTTGGATGCAAACTGATTATAATCTTCTTCATAAGTAAAATATATAGATATATATACCAATAAGAAAGGCCACAAATGATGGTCGGTTGAAGGAGAAACTCCTCAAATGAATCAATAGTATTCACTCCAAACACTCATTACTTGAACTGTAGCACTGACAGGCCACATTTGGAGTGTGTGGACGCTTATGTACAAAGAGAAGGTGTCAATGTGCTTTCTTATAGGTCTTAATTCATATCAGATTTGGTCTGTATGATACAAGTCTTCACACTGTCACTTCTTCTCATATAGGAACTTCATAACTTATTTGTAAGGGCTCCGGATTTCTATTTACAGGTCAAAAGGAAGCGCAAGGACAAAACAAGAGGTAACTTGACATTCTTAAATGTACATTAGAAAGTTAAAATGGCTGATCATGTTATTCAAACTCATCATTCAGTAAAGTTACTGAGAATGTATCTCAAAAAATTATGCAGCTACTGATATATATTTTTTTTGCTATTCTGGTGATTTAACTTGATTGAGGTTATAAAGCAAATCCCCCCCCCCCCCAGACATTCTCTTGGTGGCACTCTTCCCTCCTCTCACTGACTTATAAGTAACCGACAAGGCACGCTGTCATCCCTGACCATCACCCCAGACCAGACAGATCATTGGTTCAAACACAACACAAACACACATTCATTTAGATCCATATCACTACACAGCATTATTTAAAATGAAAAAAAAAAAAAAATCTAGGAGATTGCGGGGTGTTGGTATTGTGATAGTTGACATTATTCAAGTACTCTTTGTTTGCAGCTCATAACAATCCTTCACCAATGGACGGAGAGAGAGAGAGAAAGAGAGAGAGAGACCGACCGACACCACTCTACCGGATGCTCTCCAGCTCCATCACTTTCCAAAGTTGCCAAAGTCAGCGAAGGCATCGTGTTTAGGCTGTTGGACCATTCCAGGGTTCATCCCCATTCCCATAGCACCAGGCATCCCCATGTTCATGCCCATCCCCATCATACCCTGGTTGTGGGCTGGGGTCATCCCCATGCCCATGCCCATGCCCATTCCCATTCCCATGCCAGCACCAGGGTGCATCATAGGATTTACAGGAGGCCTGACTGTTGTAGATCCAAGGCTCATAGCGGAAAATCCCTGGGAGAGCATGTTGGCAGGTACCTGGTGGCCTGGAAATGACAGGACAAACTCAATGAATAAAAGTGCCACATTTTAGATCACACTTGATTGGCGGGGTCGCTTTGAAGTCGAGCCTGGCTACAGTGTCACCACTTATGCCAGCTCTACCATTCCTCTCACCTTGTTGGAGGGTGTTGAGGGTGGGCTGGCTAGGCTTGGGTGGCTGCATGCCTGGTCCCAGGAAATCTAGGCTGATGTTAACCGTCTGGTCTGCCCAGGTGGAAGGGAGGGATGCTTTGGCTCCAGCACCTTGAGAGGCCATTCCCTGCTGCAACGGCTGGAGAGGCATGACCGACTGCGGTTGGATAGGACCACCTATGTTCTGGAGGGGCTGGCAAAGACAAGGACAGGTACAATGTGAGAGAAGGAGCTAATTTATGTTAAAAATCAAAGAAAAATATGAGATATGTTTCTCGAGCACTGAGATACATGATGAAAGGATACAGTTCTTCCTCATGATTAAAGATCTGAAACCTTTAGCCTGACCCACTTAATCTCAATACTGAGATACAGAGGAATCTGCTACTGCCTCTTTCTGAACTCATTAAAACATACCATCTAAAGTAACTAGTGTAAAACAGAGTAGTGGGTGTCTTCACAGCAAAACAAGGACTGAGTTTGTTTTTTTAAGTAGGTCAACCACCTTTTAACATGGAAATACAGTCGACAACCACAAGCTTTTTAATGTTTTTGTAACTCAGAACTGATTCTTCTCATTCAGTGTGTCAGTAACAGGAGGAGTGGGCGGTTAGTAGGCGGTCTCTGGGGGAAGAGCATCTGGTGAGGCTGCATGTTAACCCTCTACCATGATGCTTGTCCTCCATTTTTTAAATCACACGAGGTATGTCTTTATCACACAGGCATACAGACGATGGTGTGGTCAACAAGTAGTGTAAACCGGATCTTTTTAAAAAGTTTTGTTCTGGAACACTACTTCAAGTATATAATTTCTCTCATCATTTGACATTTATTTATTTCTCACTTCATACATAAGCGTGCAATAATTAAAAGGTGATGATGGCTAAAGCCAAAATCAACAAGCCTGTGGTTTGATGATTACGCTAGTTCTAAAAAAACACTGGCTCAATCTTACCGTCCTTGTAACAGCTGAAAAACAGTATTTGAAATCAATGACAATATATTTGTATCTTGGGCTAATACTGATGTTTGGTTGGAAATATATTCAAAGCAGGATCCAGTGTGTACAGGGCCATATTCATGTATTTAAAGCATGTAACCGTAACGCTTTTTAAATTTAATAAATCATTTTATCTGGTAGATTTTCCATTGTTGGAGGCACTCTTTATACTCTGCCATTTAGTTTATGGACTGGCTTGTTCTGGATCTTTGGGTCACCGTTTTCCTGGTTAAAAAGGTGTGAAGAAAACAAGTACATTAAGAACAAAGCCAGTGCTGGAAGCAAAGCATTTTACACATACGTTTCTATTGTCACATGTTGGAATTAAGCATTAGCCTAGCAGTATGTCATTTTCCAAGTTTTGCAGTGGCTGACTGAAATTTATAGCAGGCCTCCACAGAACCCTTCGGCTGTAAAGTTTTGACCCAAGTGAAGCCTTTCAGCTTCAATATTTCTTTGTATAAATGCACAAGTTTTTAGCAGGAGTTCTCTCAAATACAGTGGACAACTGGTATCTTTGTGTATTGTTATTTCTCTGAGGAGATTTTGCTTGCCTGTATCATTTAACCCCCCTTCGTGAGTCTTGTAATGATATGAATCTCAATAAATTATTAATAAAGGATGCATGTGTGTATCAGTGCAATCATGCATACCTGTGACCTAGACTGGGGCAGGACTGTGGCGCTCATACTCTGTGTGCTGCTCATGCTAAAATTGAGGCTCTGGGAGGAGGTGAGGGACTGAGTTGGCCCCATCAAGTCAAACAGGTCTGCTGAGGCAGGACCAGAGCCTGGAGCTGAGACTGGGGCGGGGGCTGGAGCAGTGGCAGGACCTGCTGCCATTGCTCCAAAAAGGTCATTTCCGCTGTTGTCAACAGTCTGAGCAGATGCAGGCATCTGACCTCCAGGGAAGGCATTCCACTCTCCAAAGTCTCCATTGCTGCTAGACGCTGGTGCTGCTGCAACAACGAAGAGAAAAAACAGCAGTTGCATCATTGTTTGTATTTGCCATCTAAACAGTGCTGTTTGTATTGTGAGCTGTGTAAATAATTGCAACACGTTGCAAACAAAGCTCACAGAAGCAAATTTTAACCTGTCATAGCAATTAGGAATAAACAGTTGAGTCTTCAGGCCAGTCAAGCTTTATCCGGGGCATTCTTAGTGACCACCGGTGCTACGTTTTAAATTTTCATTGAACTGGCCCTGCTTGTTGTCTCTATCCCTCCACTCAATCTCTCTCCCCACCAAATTCATCCTCTGTCCCTGTCTCCTTGTCATCCATAACAGGAGTTGATGTGTGTCTGTTCTTGTTATGCAGAGCAGGTAGCAGGTTCCATATGGCCAGGGCTTCCTCCCAGCATCCCTCTGAATATTCTAGCAGTATGACTGCAACAGCAGCACACACATGCACACACTAACCAAAAAAAATGTTTTTTAAAAGTCTTGAAACCAACCAGATCCTGAAGAGAGGATGGCAGAGGCAGCAGGCGAGGAGAAGTCGGCAAATGCACTGATCAGGTCTGCATTGAAAAATCAACATAAACGCATCAATTTTAAACAAGCAAGCTCCAGGTGTCATTCTACCATAGTTAGCATTCCTTCAGTGTCAGAAGTGTAGGAGGGAGGGGAGGGGAGGTGGCGGTAGATAGGTGGAGAAGAGCAAACATCTGTTCAGTGCTCCAACCCTCTCCATTCACTAGGGACTGCTCCAAAAACATCTGGTGCACTTAGTTCCTATACATCAACTCCCTCCCCCTGCTGTCCCCAAAATCTTCTCTATCTAGCATCAGCAGCTGGGCACTGTCACTGCGGAGTCTAGTCCTGCAGTCACTGTGGAGTTTCCCGTTTTGTACAAGGTTGTATTCCTAAGAATATACAGTGTGCAAATAAAAAATATTTGGTGGTACTAGAAGACATATTGTTCCTTTTTGGAACTTGGTTCCCTAAGATAGGCTATGCTGCACATCTTGGATCAATTTCTATGCATAAACCACAGAAATGCAACGGATACCAACCCTCTCAGATGGCTCCTGGTAAGCAAACAAGTGTATTTCACAAAATGTCTAGGTATTACTTGAAGTTCTGTGACATTATACCTGTGGGAGCAGGCTGGCTCGGTGTTGTGTCTACCATTAGTAGGTCAGCTAGGCCGGTACTGGAGGGCTTAGGGGCTGCTGGCTGGGGCTGGAATAAAGAACAACAAAAAGATCAGTACACTGTGCACATATAACTACACGCATATAACTGAAGTCTTATCTCATATTCTCTCTCTTGCTACCTGTTTGTTGGTGGTGTCTGGGCTCTTGTCTCCTGTGTAGAGCGCTGCAGCCCCCAAGTCTACTTTCCTGGAAGGGACTCCTCTCTTTCGTGTTGCTGTGGTCTCTGTTGCTTGGACTATGTGTACACTCTTGGTGGTAACAGTCTCCTCTTCATCTTTAAACTCTTTCCCTGTCTGGCCATTGTGAGACGAGCGTCCCCGGTCCTCCTCGTTGTCACTATGGAGGCAATAATGGGTCCGGTGAGGACAGGATTTTCTTTGTACATACTATATATGAGAACCAAGATCCAAACTGTGTTGGGCTATTTCATTTACAGGTATATTCACAATATAAATAAAAATGTTTGTAGATTTAAAAAAGCACTTTGTGTTTTGCTAATGTGATAATAATTGAAAATAAAGACGCATTTACTGTTGCGTTTACAATTTGTGTTAATGTACGAACCTTTAACAGCATCAGAAAACTTAACTTTGGACTAGTTGCTGTTTGTTTTGTATGGATAAACAGTTTGAGAGTGAAACCAAGTTTCATTTTCTTATTATGAATTTTGGTGGTGGGAGCTTCCCTTTTGTTGATATTTGGAACACGGCTTGTGCCTTTATATAACCAAATATAATATGATGATTGGTCTGTCTCCAACCTAATTCGATCTGGTGAGTCGTCTCTTTCTTTCTTCCTAAATCTGCTTATGGTATCGTCAATGGTGCTGCCAATTTTGTCGCTGATCTCCCCCAGCTTCTCGCTGAAGGGGAATTGCCCTTTACTCCTGTCCCAGTCGTCGTCCCACTTTCCCCGGCTATCGCTGGAGTCGTACCTGTCCCCCGCTGGAGGGAAAGAATTCAAGTAGGTGGAAAAAGAGAAAAAAAAAGAAAAAAGAACATGAATTGAATTAAAACCCAAAAGTTTTTGTTAATAATCAGTCTGGTACAGTATATTACTCCCTCAACTGAGGACTTACTGTAACTTCGGTATCCCATACTGTCTGAGGATACCCCAATGAATTTGTCTTTGTTCTTCTTTGCCTTTTTCCGTTCTTCCCTAAGCCTGTCATCATCCTGGACAAAGTCCACCATCTCCTTCACCTTCTGACGCACATTCACACCTTGGTCCTTCCCATTCTCATCTATAGACAGAGACGTTAAAATAATTCATGAATTAGCAACTTTTTGTGTTAATTTTTACAATATATTGAAAACACACACACACACACACACACACACACACACACACTATATGAACATCTCTGTACAGCTAAGGTCAAATGTTGTTTGTACATTAATTACACATGGTTGGAAGAGTGAAAGCAGCTTTAGGGCTGTGTGTGTGTGTGTGCGTGAGAGTGTGTGTGTGTGGTTTAAAGGTTTGTGGACTAAGCAGTGCTTAGGGCCTCCATCCATTCATTACAGCTCACACTGAAGCTATTGTTAATAAACACTAAACTCTACAATGCTGAGGTGTAGAAAGTGACCTAATCAAAGCTAAATTTAACAAATGAAACCGCTTAGTCTGTTTAGGTACCACTCTTCCAACAAATGAAAAGATGGTATAAAAACGAGAGTAAAGATACAGAAGGGAAAAAAAACAGAATGATACCTTACCTACAAAGTGGTAGCTTTCTAATGATCTCAGGTCATACAGATGTTCTCTGGTACTGGTAACCACCCTCTCTGATCCATTCCTGATTAGATGGGCGAGCAGTAGCAGGGACTGAGAAACCAACACACAACAGTAGTTAGGAGCAGAAAGGGCTTATGGTTTGATTCTTAACTTTAATCTTGTTAGAGTCAATCTGACCTGTTTTCTCTCACATGGCCACAGTATGTAAACAAATGTGAGGCATCAACCGTTTGTATTCAAAACAAGTTTTTGTTTTGAATTATTTGAAAAAGAATTACAATTTCAATTAAAAACATCCCTCTTCACCTAACCTAAAGTTTGTTTTTCTTCCTGCCTGTAAGTAATGAGCAGAAAATGTGAAGTTAAACAGACAGCTCATTTTAAAAGGACACCAGTCTGGTTAAAATTAAAGCCATGTTGGTCTGAGTGGGGTCCTCAGCCTCCAAACCTCGCGTCATAATGTGTGTCGTCATGTGTGTTGGTGGTACAGTACTGTGGCCGACCTTGTAGACTCTCCTCCAGTTCTTCTTGTTATCCCTCAGCATGCGTGCCCAAAGCATGTTCATCACCTCAGGGAACTGCTCATACATGAAGGTGGCTCTGATGACAGAAACATTCACGGAAGAAAGAAAAAATAAATGTATGGCAACAAACCTACTGGACTAGCTAGTTCTTTTACCGCCTTTGATCACAGACCCACAGGAAGTAAACTCCAGGATCTACAGGTTCCTTATGCACATTTGTGTTTGTGTATCACTGCATCCCAATAATAGCAAGGATGAGGCAAATCAATGAAAGAAATGATAAAATAAAATAAAAAAAGTTAGGAATATGTCACTGCATGTAGCAAGGCTGTACATTTAAAGGGGGTACAGGTCATTGCCTTGGTTTTTGTAATTTATTTTTGTAACACAGAGGTCAGGACTGTTAGTAATAGCAAGGATCTTTTCAGTATTTTGTCTGGTTCTTTTGCTGCCTTATTATGTAACCACATTGAAGTTACGTTTTTTTTTTTTTCCACTTGGTCAATTCAGTCTCTATTTGGGTACATAGTTATAATTTAAATGTCAATAAGTCTGCCCTAATACTGATACTACTACCAGTGATTACAGCAGTTTGAATTAATGCTGTACACATGTTGTAGCAGTGGTGAGGCTTGTGTTCAGTATTGCCAACAGTAGAACAGTGGTTTCTGGCTGGCAGATAAATACTACCCTTGAAACAGGGACTTTTGTGGGCAGGGCCAAAGAAGCAAAAACTTAAAATAGGTTCCTGCGGTTGAAATGGAGGTTCTGAAAAATGCTCCTGCAAAAGTTCCTGCAGATAATGTTTCTACAATTTGATTTAATTTACAAATAACGTTGATGCTTTTGAGCAGGACATGTTGTAGAGCACAGTGTGTTGTTATTACCTTGAGATTTCACTCATCAGCTGTCCCGATGGTCCCCACGGGTCGTCATTGGTGGCCTCTCTGACTTTGGACTCCACCTCTGAATAGTTCATCACCACGTTGGTTCTATACAGCAGCATTAAAAAAACAAGCACAAACATAATGTCATTAATTATGCCTATGTGAAGCATTCTACAAGGCATTTTAGTTCAAATTATGTGGCCTCCACTGAAACCAACAAGGGTGATAATAGTTGAAAGGTCCTCTCATTACAGCCACGCCCATACACTTGTCCTTTTAGAGTCTAAAAGGGTTATGGGACAATAGGGACTGTTTGTGTGTGTGTGTGTGTGTGTGTGTGTGTGCTTTGAATCTAACCACTAGTCAAAAACAATGGACTAAAGAAGCAAATGCAAATCTGTGTTCACTCTAAACACATAAATGAGACCGAAAATGGCACCGATTGATGCAGGTCTGTGCTTACTGTGGGTGAGATCTTCCTTGTTGACGTTCTAAAAAACTAACTAGAAAAGAGAAAGGAAACCCAGCGGGGAAAATACAGCACTACAAATAGCGGCTCTCGGGTTAACGGAGAGGTTGTTTTCTATTTCTAATATCTTATCCCAGATAATTAAGTGAGCCCTGTTACAGCTTTAGCCAAAGCATGGTGAGCCAAAACATTTGAACCCTGCACCTCCTCATCCCTTCCTCACAACCGCCACATCAGCAATAAAATGTACAGGGCATGAAAGAGCAGCGCTGGTTTGATGGATGGAGAGATACACACTCCCTGTGTTTTTTGGAGACAGGCTATAGTACTTACACAAGCTGTAGGGTATTGGTTACCACTCTGACAACATACTTTCTTTTGTGAAAATCTAGTCTATGCCAACGAAATTATTTGAAAATAACCACGCCAGGTGCTTTTTCACAGCTGTTTAAAATAAACCTCCAAGTTGGACCATGGTTACAGTAACTTTATGTGCTGAGAAATCCTTAAAAGACATCAAGCCTTATCCTGCATCACTGGACTGACTAACTGAACTCTGATGATAATATTCTTCATACTACGCTCAGTAGCTAAGTAGTTTAGGGTCAGGTTTCGTCGAGTTTTGAGGTGTGTTTCTGATTCCTTCGTCTCTTTGTCTAGCTATTTTACTGATACTGCACAAAGTTTCATGTTTGCATGAATGACATGCAAAACACAACAGGACATGATGTAGTGATTTGACATCTTATCTCTTCACAGCGTTGGCCCTGTCCTAGATAAAAGATAAAACGGAAGTTGTGATACTTTCTCACAGTGACACACATTTCCGTTAGATGGCTGTAGTGTTGTATCTGCCAAAAAAACTTCCCATCAGTTACTCATGAACCCAATTGTATTTTCTGCTTCATATAATACATGTCGCTTCCATTCATTGCAAGATCGATTTTGCATTTGCTCGCATGTCATGCCTCCGCAAAAACCTCACCTTTAGTCATACAGCTGCAAGTGCCACACGGTTAGTGTGAATGACTTACAGCTCGGTGGCCCTTTATGAACATCGTGTTTAATTTGCCCCGTCAATACAAAAACACAAGCTCTTTCATCACTCTTGATATCAAAGAAAGCAGGATGAAAATAAACATGGAAAGCCCCTTGCCTCTAATCTTTATAACTGGCATTTTCCCTCCTCTCTCTCTCTCTCTCAAATAACCCATGTACCAGGGGGGTCACACTCCAGGGAGACAAATGCGTTCAACAGGAATGCATTCTTGGGGGGGGGACTTAAGAACACGCTATTGTCTGGGTGTGCAAAATGAAAGCCATTAAACCTCAGAAGGGAAGAAACGTTGTGCAATAGCCTCCCACAGCGCTACAACACAGGGCAGCATGCTCACGTTTAGTCAGCGACACAAAGTAAAGTCCACAGCACAACAAAAGACGCACAAACCCTCAAGGTGTTGCACAAGCTCAGTGATGGCTGGTATATAATTTCAGGTGCTAAATTACTTCTGCTGGCCGTACAGGCCTGAACTGACACTGCCATAAAAACTCTGCAAAGACTCATTATGACGGTGTAGGCGTTTGTCTGTGTTTGTACATTTCGCCAGCACGTTACCGGACTATTTACTTCTTAATCAAAAGACCAAGGAGAGGTAAACAGTAACTGACTAATCTGTCTAGTTAAACTTAAATCATCAACATTGTGTGCACTTAAGCAAGCAGCTGGACAGCCACCAACAGGTTGCAAAACACTGCAGGATCAATGGTCACTGATTAATAAGCAGCCTCCTGCCACTGTTGTTTATCTCATTCTTCATTTGATGTTACATATCACAACAAAACGACCACGTAGTACCGTATATAGTGATTTAACAAACGTATTTGATAAGACTTGCTGTATATTATAGATTGGATTAAAAAAAAAAGCCTGCAAAATAAAAATAAAATGAAGCTTTTATAGCTCAGGCATAATGTTTTGATACCTTGAGGTCTTTAAGTTTAAGTTGTTTAACTTGTTCCACTTGTCAAGCAAACTAGTGACAAAGACAAACAAGTTGGCTGTGAAGTAATCCCACTACAAGTCCTCCAACAACTTTAACAACTAATAGTTTAATTTTAGTTTACAGCACCGCTTCTGCTCTGTAACTTGGCCACAAGTGTCATAAACAATCACACCGGAGAGTAACGTTAACGCGTTTTTACACTCAATTAAGTTTTTAAAATACTCCCAAACAGTAGGACAACGTGTGCTTTAGCGGACAAGATGTAAAGTTACACATTCCCAGTTGAGTATTCAGCCCCGGAGCTGTCAAACTAGCTTAGCTGGCTAGCCTGGTCTGCTAGCCACCTAGCACGAAAGCTAGATAATTAGCTAGCGTGTTAGCTTGCAATGATCGGAGAAAACGCACCAACAACAAGCTCCCTGATCTCACAACCGCGCGGATGTGGTCTCACACCAGCCACACAACCGCGTAGAACAAGCGGACCAAAGCAGGAGTCAGTCTGTTTGTTAAAAGTCAGCTAACTTTAAAAAAATAAAAATAAAAAGCTAAGTAGCATACGGGGCTAGCTCACTTGTAGAGTGACGTCAAAGTTTTGGGTACGTGTCTCTTTCAAACAGGTGAACTACAGGAACAAACTACACGAACCTGGAGCCGTCGAGATACTTACGCTTTGTCAACCAACTCCCTAACCTTCCACATGTTCAGCATCTTGGCTCCGTGAAAAAAAGGGGGGGGGGAAGCTTTTGTGCCTCGGCGAACCCTTAACTCCGGACAAAACACACCGAAACCAAACCTTGAACTCTGGAAAGTAAACTCTTCTTCACCTCCCTTTTCAAGACAGGAGGCGCAAACGCACCACCAGGCGCAGACAGGAAAGGTTACTACGGGAAATGCCGCTTGTAACGTCATCGGCAATTTGCGTAAAGCAGCATTGGAGTTGTAGTTTTTTTTAACAATTCGCACTCAACAGGCGCAGGACACCTTTTTAAACAGATACAGAAACAGCTGGAAACTTGGTAGGGGATTATTGAGTGGAGGTAAAAACTATAGAGAAAACCAGCTGCTAGTAGTGAGATTTAACTATATCAGAGGACCCTCCTGGAATCACATCAAGGACCCCCCCCCATGTAATTTTTTTTTTTTTTTAGATCCAGACAAAATATTATTATTTAAAAATCTAAGTAATTAAGTTAATAAGTAGTCTATAGTCCAAGGATTACCTGTCTTTAGGCCAACAAGCAGTCAAAATGTGGTTTTGCAATATACATAATACAGGAATTTATTGTATTGTGGTTTATATTTATGTTGGTGTTGCCGAAAGTGGCCATTATCCAGTACAGTATGACTGACATTTGATATTGTCTTATTGCATTATATATATTGCTGTGTACAGTTGATAAGTAGAAAAATATTGCATTAAAGAAATACCAATATATGTCTGAGGTAGTTTCAATTGATGATTGAATTGATCACATTACAGTTTGTCCATCAGACATCACTGACAAGTTTATGTTTTAAAGTCTCACATTTTCTTAAAAAAGGGGGAAAAAATAATCAAAACCAAAATAATTTAAGAGATCATTATCAAAAAAGGGTTATGTGTTTATATAGAAAATTAATAGCCTATAAGTTATGTATATATGATATATATTATGTTTAAACTTTCAAATATCAATCTACCCTAAACAAATATCGATTGGGTTATATTATCTATAAAAGCCACATTTCTAATGTTTTATTCTCAATTTATTATTTGTTTGACAATAATCTCTCTGCTTCCACTTCACACTGCTAATTCTGCTCTGTTGTAAAAGCCTGTCCTTTTTGTCCAAATGTCGTTCCAGCTTCCCCAAAACTATAGCCTACATCATCATCAGCAGGTCACCACCCTGTGTGTTCTCCATCCTTCCTCATCTGGCATTCAGGCATGCTACAATGACCCAGTGATGCTGTGTGACAGGCCAGGCTGGGCACTGGCTGTTTGTGTCAATCCAGATCAATCACTCCCTCTTCTGGACGGACAACGCCATCAACGCACAGAAAGGTCACAGGGTGTACTCAAGCCAGGCCTGATGTGGTGAGCAGGGAGGTCAGTATAGCAAGTGAACACCCTTGACAGAGTGAGTGTCATCTTAAGTAGACACAGTCAGCTTATGAGTAAGAAAAAAATGTCCTTTTTTTTTGTAAAGGATGAATTAAATGTGGTCAATTCCTCCGACTTGAAATGTTTTTTGATTCTCCTGTGACAGGGTGTATACCAAAAGTATTAAGACTCTTTGTTGTATTGATTGATATTCCAGTGGGCAAGATAAGCCCTCAGATGCCCCTGCACCTGACAGGGTCTCTATTCTCTAATGATACGTGTAAATATGGCCCATGGCTTACACTTCTATAGGAGAGCAGAAAGAAACAACACAATAGCCAAAATACAACCCATTTGAGAAAAAAACAACAAGAAACAGCACTTAACGGCCCAGAATGCACCGCACCCATGGGAGCAACCTCAATTACTGTTACACGTCCGAAGAGGAGAACTCTAGTAGAAGTGATTGCTGAGATGGAAATGGCTGTATGTGTGTTTGTGCATGCGTGAGTGTGTTTTTGTGCGAGTGTGTGGGTTGGAGGAGGATGGATAGAAAGGCACTCAGTAAAAAGATCTTTCAGAAACACTTTGCCTCAGTGACGTTGACACGAGCTGTTGATTGACATGCACTTCTCGACAGAAACCAGAGCTATCAACCTATCTGCCACGCATTAAGAATGGCACGGTCCTTTGGGAGGGGCCTAAGTGGTAAATGATGTTGCTCAAGACACGCTCTGTCAACAATGTGTGTGTATTTGTGAGTGCTGAGGATGGCAAAGTATTCAATCAAAGCTTTGATTGAAAAGCCTCTGTGTCCTTACAGATCACAATTCTGTACACTCATGTATAGGATGCATGTGTGAGGGGAGAGCCCTGTTTTAAATATAGTATGGTGCTGTGCAGTCTGGGACAAACAATAGCTGGCAGAAGGCTTAATTGTAAAAGTCTGATCTCAAACAATATTTGTGCAATTAAACTGTGCTGAGTTTTAATTTTAAGAAAGAGAGATGCAAATAAGTTCTCTGTAAGAAAATCTTGTAGACCCGTGTTCTGTCTTTGGATGTGGAAAAAAAATGTCAGCCTTTCCTTGATATTTCATATTTTATAACTACGTTCCATTCATCATCTTGCTCTTTGGCTTATCATCAATTTGGTCTACAGAGACCAAGTTGTCACTAACAACTTTTGAGTTGAAGGAGATGAAAAAAGTAAGCCAGATAAACATTGTGTAGTTGTAACACAAGCAGCACTAGGGGGCACTCTGACTTTTCTGGTTCTGGAGACTGCTGAGTATTGCACAGGGGTGAGTGTGTTCAACGTCTGTGCGCATGTGAGTGTGTGTCAGTCGGTGCAACCACTGGGGGTCGAGGCTGTGTGTTTACATGGCTGAAGTTCCCATGACAAACGTGGTCAGAACATCATTTCAGCTTGGGAATGTGCACAAAAAAGGGGCAGCCTCTACAACTCTGCTATTATTCTTTCTCTACAAACATGTGCTTCCAATCTCTTGAAACTCACTGTGCTTTTTTTCTTTGCAGTTTTACAGTGTCATTAGAAAACAATGTTCTTTGTTTTGCACATTAGCTACGAATTAACGCTCCCGCCCATCTTTGTGCCCGCAGAAGAGGTTCAGATCTGTGGAGTCACTCGCTGGGGCCCAGCTTTCCTCCTGTCAGAGCAAGGGTTCTTTCACTGCTGTTATATTTCAGGCTGTTATTGTTGGCCCTCTTGCAGCCTCGGTAAGATCTTTAGTCCTTTTCCCAAGCGATATAACCCCCACACACATCACACAGTATCTGACCCCTGTCTCCATGACACATGACAGGTCCACTGTGGTGCGTGTGTGTGGGCATGTGAGCAAGGACTGATGTGCTGGTATGTGCATTTATCTGGTGTGTATGCTTTCATGTAAATGAATGTGTGTGCGTGCAGCATAATGTGTGCAAGTGTACAGAGCATATCTGGCACAGTATGTAAGTATTGAATATGCTAAAACAATGAGGCCACTTGTCACATGTTCAAAGTTGCGCAGACAACCCGCTGTGATCTCAAACCACACACACAGATGTTCCTAATGGGACTAAAGTAGTATTCACATTCTTGTGGATAACCAGTCTGTTTATTTTTCTCTCTAAACTGGACTGGATTGCCACTTTCCCTGGTGAGAAAAAGGATGGAAGATGATAAAAAAAATAAGAAGAGGCTGATGAGAGAGGCTCCCACCACAGTTTAGACCCCCAAAGCCAACTGTCAGTACTGCTAAACCAGCAAACCTCAGCCCCGGTGATTTAAGGGTGACGGTAATTCAGTGTATAATGGAAGTTGATGCCAATGTGCAATACTTTGCAAGTCAAAACTGCTGTTGTCTTATTCTCCTACATGAAGAAATGAGCTTGGTGTAATTGTGAAGGCTTATGTTTATGAGTCAGGATGTTACAGTAAATCCTGTTGCTTTGTAGAGGGGCGAGAAAGCATACACATACACACAGAGAAACCCACACAGGTACGCTCAAGTCCTGAGAGCATCTGCTCCTTTACAACCAGATTGAATTAGCAATTACAGAGAGTAAAAACCAGAACAAAACATCTGGAGCTGTAAGCAGCAGAGGTTATAAATCTGAGAGGGAGAGGGGGGTGGGGGTTATGAAAATGAGCCAAAGTGAGATTCTCAAGGACAGTGTCTCTGATTGGCCCATTAACATGCCAGGGGTGTCAAAAAGGACCTGAGGCAATGGGAGAAATGGGACAGAGCAGAGGGCTTTAGAGGGCATATGGAACACCAGTGAATGGAGAGGTAGAGAGTACAGGGGAGAGCACAGGAGAGGGCCAGTGAGATGCTGTAGGGGAGTGAAATGCAGTTTTAGCAAAGATAATACAACTGAGGAGATAAATGGATGTTGTTTGTGTCTTGAACCTCCTCACAGGAAATCATCCCGATAAGACGGAAAGCTGTGGAAGAGCTGAGGGGAAGTTGTGAAAAAAGGGGTGTTTGGAAAAAGACCTGGAACTGCGTGGGTGCAAGAATTAAGAAAGAGAGGCTGAAGATCACTACTGTGCCAAACCATAATCATGTCTGGACACAGAATAAATACTTCAAGTAAACGTGAGGCCGGGTGTTCATAAATGTATTTTAACAATTATATCCAGTTTGGTTTAAGTCCATATAAATGTGAGGTTGGAAAGCTGGAGTACCATTACCACATCTGTTTTTGCTATTATTGGCACAATAAATTACGTAGGCAATTTGTTTGCGCGGTTGTTAGAGTAATAGAATCAAATTATCCCATGTTAGGGAAATGATTATGTACGAAGCGGAACCCATCAGGGATTCACATGGCAATCAGTGAAGTAAGACAGAGCTGAAATGTTGGCGCTCTGCACATCAACTGTTCCAGGTCCACTACGTAATTTGAAAGAACTTCTCAACCTCGGATAGGAGATGATTGTACCTGGTTCACACAGACTCTTTCGCCCACTAATCTGGCAACGCTAAGAGTGCTAAGTCAGTGTAGAACCACAGTAAATCTCCAGTAAAACATCAACCCACTGGAGCTTTATGAAAAAGCACAGAGTGAGATAGGAGCAGAGTCATAATTGAAAGAGCCTGACACAAGCGAAATGAGAAGTGTTCGGAATGAAGGACAATATCAAATGAGTCTTATCAATTAAAAGTCAGGGAATGGTGTTTACATTCTCACTCCAAGGCCAGACACTGGGTGGATGTTTCAAATAGGTCAAGGTTGAAGTGAAAACAAAAGTTAGTCGATTAGCAGTCGAGGTGCAACATTCCTACTTTG